AAACGTGAGTTTACCCCAGTCATTTGGCCACTTTAAGGTATTCCAATGAGGATTCCAATTCCAAATTTCCGGTATAATCAATGAGTCGTGGGACGATACCCAAGAGATTAAATGTCGCATCGGAAAGGCAAAGAGTGCATTCTTGACTATGAGTTCTGTGTTCAAGAGCCATGACCTCACCCTAGAAACAAAAATAAGGCTCCTTAAATGTTATCTGTACTCAGTGCTTTTGTACGGAGTAGAAACGTGGACATTAAAGGTGAAACTCTATCAAAACTTCAGGCTTTTGAGCTATGGTCATACAGAAGGATCTTGAAGATGACATGGACAGACAAAGTCACCAATGAAGAAGTACTGCGGAGAATGAACACAACTGCGGATTTGGTCAACATCGTGAAGGGCCGTAAGCTGCAGTACTTGGGCCATATAATGAGAAATCAAGGCAGATACGAGCTACTTCAATGCATTTTACAATGTAAAATTAAAGGAAAAAGGGCCCCAGGACGAAGAAGAATATCCTGGCTTGCTAACCTGAGAGCATGGTATAGAAAGACCTCAACACAGCTATTTCGTATAGCAACCAACAAATTCATCATAGCCAGAATGATCGCCAAATTCGGAATGGACAGGCACCCTAAGAAGAAGAATTTGGCCACCTTCGGGTATTCCAGATCTCATTGCAAATTCTAAGCATTACTTCCTTCCCTAATTCTCCCATTTCTTTCAGCTGGTAATCCATCTTCTCCTTCTGCTTATTTGAATTTTAGCTTTTTAATTGCCGCCTCAATTTCTGATTTCAATATTTGAGGTTATTTTTCATAACTTCTTTTCTCTGTATTATTGTCTTGGCCATTATTAGAAATTAGAATTTCGCAATATTGCTTCCACATCTCTGCGATACCGTATGGGTTTGTTATGGTATTTCAACTATTATCTTTAATGATCTGTGTCTGCGGTTTGAATTCTCTCGCTAGATACTTGACTTTTGAGAAAAGTTCTCTAGATTCTTGGCGGTCAGCATGTTCCTCTAGTTGTACACATATGTTTTTAATATAATTATTTTTGTCCCTTCTGCACAAGTGTTTTATAGTTAAATCCGGAAACTAATTGTCGAAATCAAATTCAGATTTCTGCTTTAATCTGTGCTTTCTAAGAATTGCAAGGCAAAACATACGTTGATAAAGATAAATACATGGGTAATTAGAGACATGGGGAATCTAAAATTGTATTCCACAACATATCTCCTCAACTAAGCAAAAATCCTTAGTGAATTGGTTTCTAGTACTCATAAAGAGTATAACGAGATAAAAGGAAAGACAGTTAAGATTTGATTTCACGTACATTGCGTCTGTATATCCACTTATACTTATTTCATCCTAAAAGGAATCGACGGAGCGGCTATTTACAAACGCTCTTAAAGTGAAAACAATCATTCCCGTATCCTTCCAATCGTTCCCTAGAAGCAACACTAAAATGACTTCGATATAGACGCCATTATGTTTTATAGTTGTATCTATGGTGCGTATCTCTATTTCTTTTTGTTTTGAATTTGATGTGCCGTTTCTAAGTTTTCGTCTTTCTTTTACAAGATTGAGAGTCTCTTCAGTTATCCAATGTTTTTCCTAACTGTCTTGTCTTTGGCATTAGTATTATTGATGGCTTCAATAATCCATTTCTCTGTGTATTTCCACATTTTGTCAGGGTCTCCGGTAGTCACTGGTAGGTCAGCTTCTGCGAATGCTTCTCTAAACTTTTCCGGGTGTTTTGGAATCAATTTTTGTCTTTTATTTGTGATTGTTTTATTGTGTAACCTAATGCGAAATTCTGCTTGTAACGTTTTATGGCCGGAACCACAGCCTGCAGCTGGTTTTGTCTTCACGTTGATTACTGAGCTCCTTCATCGTTTAGTGACAAGCATATAATCTATTTAATTCTTGTATCGTACTCCAGGCGAAGACCATGTTGATAATCTTCGCGGATGATGTTTAAACATTGTGTTTACTATACTAAGATCCATATCGATGGCAAATTGAAGGAGCCGTTCACCTCATTCATTTCGCTAATCTAAGCAATGATTACCTATCGTATCAAATGGTAATCTATTTTAGTTTGTCCTATTTTTGCATTCCAATATCCTATTATCATCATTGGTTCTTTTTTTGGAATGTTCGAGATGGTTTTGTCGTCTCCGGGCGATTATTAGTAAACGTAGGAAATTGAAATGCAACTTGGTGCTATAACCATGTTTACTAATATCTCTAACTATTGCGCAATATTGCGTAGTTAGCCGGAACGCTCTGATTTGGGCATTGTCTTGAAAAAGACAATGCTGCAGGTGGTGTAGGTACTTTAGAAATGAAACACAGTATTTCCAAGTAGAAAAAAACTCAGCGTCAGAGTCTTTAGAACTTTTCAGAGCCCTTCAAAGTGAAGAGCCCTGGGGCGACCCTCTGAGGGTAAAACCAGACTGACTGTAAATCCGAAAATGTCCCATATTTAAAGTAAAATTAACTTTTATATGAAACCTTTTCGATTTTTAACCAATTAAAATTTGAATAAAACTACAGAAGGAAGGGCGATGAACATCGAGGTGCGTGATTGGTGGCACCTGATGACAGTTTCATGTATCATTATGTATACATGTGTTATGTTTCTTCTACTGTATCTTCGGATGTGGCATATATATCTGTATAATATGCATTTTGGCTGATTTAGCGTTTAGAGTTATTTTGATTATTCGATCATTTACTGGAAGGTATTCATGTACATATTTTGCCTGACGTTTTTGAATTAATATTGCTACGCCTTTTTGTTCCAATTTGTTAGCTCCTGACATAAAAACTTTGTAGTGAGTGGCCTCCCAATGCCCTTGGCCTTCCCAGTGTATTTATTACTACTACTAGAGATAAATTTATAAATTCTAAAAGTATTCTTTTCGTTTAAAGTATTCTTTTCATTTTTCATTATTGAGGTTTCCTCTAGGACGATAGTCTCATCTTCCTGTCTAATTTCAGTGCTCTAATTTATTTTTTGGCGTATTGTCTTCTTTAATACTGAATAATAGAGTTTTTTATTGCCTTTTATTTCGTTCTAATTTTTCTCCAACTCCTTCTATGTTTTTTTATTTTGCTTGCGATATCATTTCTTTCACTAGATTTCTTTGCTTCCTGTATTATTAATAGTTATTTTCTGAGTTAGTTATTTGTTAAATAATAATATTAATTAACTGAATCATACGTTGTTTTTATTAATTTACAAACAATACTGACATATTACACGTGGTATCAGTTCTTCATATATCAATAAAACCAGCTAATCAACAATTTTATTTGATAATATATGTTTACATTTCGATTGTGTGAATAATTACTATGTGGGGCATAAAGGTCATCTTTATCTTTCATTTAATTAAGATTTGGATAAACGAACACAAAATATTTAAAAAATCCTGCTTTTCAAATTTCCTGCCAAAGTCCAAATAAAAAGTATTACGGAAATATAGATCAAATAGCAATATATCTATCTAATTTTGGACAAAAGCGTGTCATTGTCTGCTACAGAGCTTTTTTATCTATAAACCCGGGGATAGTAGCTGTAGCTATGACCTCATCTATACTTTGACTCAACTCAAAGTGACTAGAAGTTGCAGAACTGCACAGTAAGATATGCAAAGCTAACCTTTCTAAGGTTTCTAAATTCTTAAACGAACTTATTTGCTTATTTATATTTTATTTCTTTTATAAGTTTTCTTAGTTTCTAAGTTTCTTATATAAGTTTTCTTATTTATTTATTTGGTATTTTTCTATGAATTTAGACCATGAATTGTTGTAAAATTATTTCTCTTTCAGATGCTCTAAGTTCCTGAACGAAACTTGGAAGAATTTTTATAAAATTTTTTTATAATATTTTTTTCAGCGAATTAGAATAATTTCTGACAAATTATTTCTTTCAGGTATATAAGTTCCACAAATAACTTTTGTAATGTTTTAGTTATTTAGGCACTTTGAAATATTTTTGGGATAAAAATAACTTTTATCGACGTTTCATCGACTTAGGTATTTGTATTTTTTTTATTAGTCTTGAGTGTGATAACTAATAACTTTCTCTTACAGATTCTTAGTTCTAAGACTGATTAGCACCTTTTTTACCGATTCTTAGTTTTAGTTAACATTTATTTGCATTTATTTAAAAAGGTATTTTCCCTCTAGCTTGTGGGCATATACGGCCTATATGTCCACGGACCGTGACCCTTACCTGCTCCGGTCCATTTCAGCTATGGATAGTGCGACTGGCCACCTTCCTCATTTCCGAGGGTTCAGACCAGCGACAATTATGGGCCAAGAAAAGGACGGCATTGTTTAAATGGGCACTCGTAATGAAGTCCCTTTCACTGACAAGGACGGGGCTAGGCCCCCATGGAAATTATGTCTTGACTAAAGATTCGTGAGGTATCTGGACGCCCTTCCCAATCGGACGGCTTTTTGTGCACTAAAAGTAGGAACATTCTCTTGTTGTCTACTTGAACTACTCAGTGCACAGTATTGACAGACTTTAACCAGACTAGGAGAGATTTGCGCGGCGGTGTCTTCCTATGTGGTGAGAATTACTCATTCGTTTTACTTGTGAACTTTTCTTCGGTTGGGCGCATGAGTGATATTAAATTCTTAGCACGAATGTCTAACGAGCACCAGCAAGTATCTTACAATATACGTACGACTTCGCCGAACTAAGAATCCTTTGCGTCGATGTCTTCTATATGTAGTCGAAGTTCAAGGAAATATCATCTCCATGAGCTAATAAATATAATTAGATCACTACTGCTAGCTGGCTGAACACTTACTGCTAGGTAGCTGGCTGAACAAAAGAGCTGGATTAGATAGAAAGAAAGATTATAAAAGATGGGAGTTTTTCTAATATATCAAAATCTTTTAAAAACACCAAAAGTTTTCATATTTTTATTATTATGCAACACCTATTCTAGAAATAATTTTACCACTTACCTTAATTCCTGCATATTTTTGTATAAACGAAGGCCGACATTGGAAAATGCCGCATTCTTTTGTATTCTTTAATATCACAGGTGTTTCAGTATAAGTAGCCGTATGTGCAGCTTTATCTCTGTCAAAACTAGCCGAAGGGTTTCTGCTGTGGCATTTAATGACTGTGTCATGATAGAAATTCGTTGAACACTTCGTCTCTGCAATTTCCGTTGTTTCGGGGATGGTTTCTGAATAGAGACCAGTCATTGTATACATAGACTCCTGCCTACGATGCCCTTTACAGTGTCCTCCTTGAGCGGAAGAGCTGGACGTTGAGGCTCCATGGCTAGTATCAGCTGCCGAGTTTGTGGCTGGCACAGTTCCGCCGGTGCCAGTCATGTTGAGCTATAGCTCTTTTATACAGACTAGCGCATTACTACCTTGGCGAAAATCTGAAACAAAAGAAATAATTCGTATTAAATTACATAGTTTCATTAAATTTAGTTGCTTTTGATGTCTCGCATAAGAACAGGAGGTAATTATTCTACGAAATCTTTACTAATAAATTGATTAAGGAAATAAGGCGTTTGCTGCGCTGGTTTAATGGAACCAAACAACACAGAAAAAGGAATAATAGAGTTGTAAACAGTGCAAAGACTCGCTTGTTTAGAAATAACGGATCCAGTAAGATTGTGTCGACTGCAGGCTTAGAGGTAATCCTAGACCTTCCTCCTCTACATATAAATGTAAGAGCGATCACTGTTGAAATTGCCTTTAGGCTGACACGGGCAAAATATCTTAAACCCTGCGACCTCACTGGGCATCTTGATATTTGAAGGGTTGGAACAACACAATCTATAAAGATTTCCAGAGAGATCATTATCATCATCATTCTGGCTTTTCAACCTTACGTGGTTCCTAGCCTCCTCAAGAATTTCTTTCCACTCGTCTTCCTCCGTCTAGCACGTATTCCCATATTTCTCATGTCTTCATCGATGTTATCAAGGAAACTTGTTCTGGGCCATTTTGTTTCCTCCGCATTACATGCCCTATCCACCTCAGACGTCCTATCTTAATTTGTTTTACGATATCTGGTTCCTGGTATATTCTATAAAGTTTTTAGTTGTATCGTCATCTCCACACTCCATTGTCATTAACTGCTGCATAGATTTGCCTTAGTACTTTTCTTTCGAAACATCCATGTTTGAAATGTGAAATGTTTTTATTACTTTTTGTTAAAGTCTAAGTCTCTGAACCGTATATTAAGAGGGGTGTATTATTGTTTTGTAGAGTTTTATTTTTGTATTTCTTGATGTAATTGTGGATTTAAGGAGGAGGAGATAAGGACTTACAAAGGCGCAAGGAAAGAGGACTTATTGACACAGGTTCTACTTGCACAGCTTGAGAATCTATTAAGAATCTATTTTCAGACGCAGGCTGAGACATCTACTTTTCATCGAGCAATTTGCGCAGTAGATGACATAACACCGCTCAAACAGAGGGAATGAGAAATGCGCATAAACCACCTGACTAAGCAAGAAAAAATGTGCACCTGAATGAGTAAACCTCTGCATTGGCGACTTCTCAATGAGATCAGCCAAGAATATGTCGACAATACAGCGTCGAACTATTTTCCCGAGACAGAGAGTTTTCTACTTGTCATTCAGGATCAGATTAGTCCAACTGAAAATTACCTGAAATGTATTGTCAAAGGCCAAAACAACAAATGTCGATATGGATGTCAAGCTCAAGAAACCATCCAACATCTTACGGGAGGCTGCCAGGCGTTTGTCGGAACTGGTTACAAAGAACGTCATGACTCAGTATTAAAGATTCTTCAATAAGAACTAGCTAGCAAACTGGTACTTCTCCAAACCGACCACCTCCCTTATTGTCAATATGTCAATGACAGAATACTTGAAAACGACAACTATAAACTTGACAAAGACCGCGCTGTGCTCACAGACAAAACAGTGGCACATAATAGACCGGATCTTAACAACAATAACCTGCATGTTAAATACAATGAAAAAATAGGCAATTACAGAAATCTAGAAATACTAATAGGCAGACAATGGAGAAAGGAAAGTATCCAGATGATACCTATTATTCTCTCTATTACTGAAGTTTTTCCGAAGGGACTCTTAGAGAAATAAAACAGCTGGTTTAATGAACATCTCTATAAGACCATGCAGAATGCAGTACTCTCAATATCTAGATGCGTAAGAAAATTTTTGGAATACGCTACGACGTACCAAGTCGATAACAGCGCTCGATAACATGGAAAGACTCTAAGACTTTCATAAATTTGGCTTGTTTTCTTAAGATTGGCATTATTGTTACATGCTTTTTAAATCTAAAGAAATATGGAGATTTTTCTATTAAGAGCGTAGATTAGTTTCATACTTTTTTTGCACCTTGTGTATGTCAGCTCAATTAAGTGTAGAGTCGTGATAAGTCGCTAAATTCTTTTAGCTCCAGAACTAAGCAAAATGATATACATTTTAGTGTGACCTAGATGAGGTTTTGGCGTTTTACCGTGAAAAACGTTTCTCAAAGGAAATTGTGATAATAATTTCCTAGTACAACTCGCGTGTATGGCATGATTTTGTTATCACCGCGGATTTTTTTGTTTTTAAACTGATCGAAAATTAATTTAAAATTTCCAGTTCACTTCTTTTCCATATACTCAGTTGCAGAGAAGCAATTAAGAAAAGTTATAATTGATTAAGGTTGAGAAATCTATATTTTTTGGGTTAGTACTGCACTTCAGCGTAAGACAAATGAAAGGAGCATACTGAATTACTGTTTGACTATATTTATAGACTAGGGAACTAACGATTTTTCCATGGCACTCTTTGATATAGGTATCTAACAATTCCTTTTGATAAATTTGGTGAAAATATTTAATAAACGAAATACGCAAAAGACTACAATCCAATAGAGAAGGGCTTATTTTATCAAATCAATTAAAAAATGTTTGGTAAGTATTGTAAAATAAGTTTACAAAAGTACTGTGATCTTGCGTTCACATATAGGAAGTTAATTTCTTTATTCGCCATGTTGGCATTTTTACACGAATAAAAAAAAAAATAAACAATAACCAATTTAAAAACTAGTCCTTATAAAATGAGCCTTCCACGATGCGCCAACGATGAACGGTTTAAAAGCGAAGCGATTTTACTACTTCAAAAACTGAATTCATAATTCAAATTTATGAAAGTCGCAATATGTCCGGTTATAATCAACGAAAATTGATACTTTTTTTTTAATTTAGGGTGCCTTGGTGCATCGATTATGAAAATTCAATTAGTTAATTTGTGAATTGTTTGTTTAACTGGGAAAATTGTTAAACAGTTTAAAAGAAACATTTAATTTAAAAAATTTTACTTAAAGGTAGATAGACAACTTAAATATTTATGTATTATAGTATATTTTTAAAAATAATTTTTACAAAAAAATTACCAAGACAAACTAAAATTGTGTTCAAGTCACTATATAGGCCTGTATTAACTTTTGGTTGTGAGTCGTGGGTAGTAACAGAACGACAAAAGAGTAAAATACAGGCAGTAGAAATGAAATTTCTGAGACGAGCTAGAGGAGTTACCAGAAGAGATAGACTACGGAACACTTAAACAATAGAAGATTTGCAAACATTGTGGGTCAACATTAGAATATATAGAAAGAAGGCACAGGTGGTGGGGTCATCTTCGGACAATGGAGAATACAAAACCAGTGAAATAAATTTGGCAGGCAAAAACCCAAAAAAGAAAGGTAGACCATGACAAACATGGTATAGAACCCTAGGAAACATTATCTAAAAATGGATAAAATTTGAACGTAATGTAAATATACAGTAGAATATAGTTTAAGTTTATAAATAACATTAACGGTGATATTAATATTTGTATTATAATGTATTGTCGCCCTATAGCACTATATGATACTATGCTTTTACAAAAAACTTATTTAAAAACCCTTATATAAACTATACAAGGGTTTTTAAATATATATATATACATATATATATATATATATATATATATATATATATATATATATATATATATATATATATAGAACTAATCGGGTTTCAAGGGTTGTACAACAATTTGTATGTTTAGTATTTTTTTTATTTGTCTTAATTTTTTTTTGTCTAAACTTGAACTATTAAACTTTCAAACGTTTCTTTTTAATTGCTTATTGTTTAAAAACGCCCAGTTAATTTTTGAGAAAATAAGCTATCTCGGGTTTTAAGGGTCGTAGGACATGTATTTAATTCGTATAAAAATGCCAACATGGCGAATAAAACAAACTTCCTATATGTTGATGCATGTGAGTTATTTTAAATATCTTCGTTCATCGGAACCATAAGACACCATGTCACATAAATGAAAATGTTGGTAATGAGCAAAAAATGAATTTGTCGTGTTTGTTTTTTTATTTTCCAAATTTTGAAAATGATTTTATAAAGTATTTTATTAGTGAGGTAGTTTTTGGTGTACTAAATAGTTGTACTATACCTGACAGTAGTTTCGGTTTAATTATTTTTGTAGAACTTTGAAAGGACATGGTGTTTTGTAACTCCAGAAAACATATTTTTGTTGTAAAAAATAAAAAAACGTTATGTCCAATTTTTATTGTCCTTTATAAGAATATAAAGTATTATAAACGTTCATGTAATAAAATGCATTACTTGTATCTGGACATACGAGCAATAAAACTTAGAACTATTAGTTTGGTGTCAGTGATATAATCTCTTTATATTTATTTTCTGTAATAGGTTTTTGTGTACTACGTATAGCTGGTAAAGAATCAGACAACTTTAATGTACATCTTTTTTTTCGTTTACGAACTGCTGGCAAAATAAGAAACAATTCTTTGTTTTTAGTAAGTTTCAGTTTAACATATGGTGTGACGTGTTCTGAAACCTCCATGTTATGTACCTGATATTTATTTTAGCACTCTCTAATGAACTGTTGCTAGTCCACAGGTGTCATAATTTTCAAACAACTCAGATGTTTACGTTTTCGTTTAATTAAAGCATGACAGGTGTCCACTTCCATGTGAGTATGACCCTCAATATGAACTTTTGATTGATTACTCTGATGCTGGGAAATTTACATAGTATGCAGTAAAAAACCAAGATATACGCCATGTTCTTGTTTTGGCCGTAACAGTTATCAGACCATATAATGATTTCTTCAGTATTGCCAATATAATTGCAAATCCACTTAACAAGCGCAGATGCCAACTCGTTCCCCCCACGGCCACCCTTACTTTCGTCCCACGTGATACAGGAGACGATACCATCAAAAGCATTGCAGATATTGAAGTTAAGGGTCCATACTTTTCTCTTGTAAAATGATAAACCACACGACAGTAAGGGTGTTGAAAGACACTTCTGTAAATTAATGGTTAAAACAGTGCTTGTATTGCTGATTTTAAAAGT